GATATTGTTTAATATCTCAGAACAGAAAATAAAGAAATTAAACAAATTAGATGCCAACACACACGCGCGCGAAGTTTTCCCCTCTACTGACTTTTTTGAGGGGTTCGGGAGGTCTCCAAACGCGTAGATTTGCAAAATAAAAAAAAAATAAAAAACTTGGAGGGTCAAATTTGACACGATTCCAATACTTTTCCGTTTTAAATACATAACAAATTGGTAAGTAAAAAGGAGTCGGAATCGGCGGATTTTTTGACGACTCCGACTCCGACTCCGGCTAAAACACCAAAACTCCACGACTCCGACTCTGATTCCACAGCCCTGGTTACCACGTAATTAAAGCACTTAAAAACTTCTGATTGCTATTGTTTTTACCGTAAGCGTATAGCTGGATACCGGTATTTTGCTTTGGCATTCAAATCATGTCAAATAATCAACCGATGATAATCGTTTCTTATATTCTAGAACCTTGCTGTGTTCCAACTTCTGAGTATGTAGGACCTTTATTGAGTGCGTTGTTAAGGTGTCCCCTTGTGTCTTAATATAAACGAAAATAAAGATCAGAGTGGAGGGTATACGGAAAAATAGGATCGAATTAAAATTACCGTCAATTTCCACTTAACGATGCAGTATTACATAGATAACCCACATTCTGTGTCTGGGATGTGTAGTTAGCTTCGAATTAACGCAGTTCGACTTAGCTAGGTTTTACTATAGCCTACCTAATAACGACATACAAAAACAAGCAGATATCTCTTAAACTTACACAGAACATACCATACCTATTTATTATGATATTTAAACTATGACTACAGAAATCATATTTTCGTTATAATCTGATAAATTACTATAATTTAACGTTAATGTTTAAAAATCTCACATTTTAAACGAAATCTAAATCTAAAATCATAAATATGTTTCAATTTAATATTTTAATATCTCGAGTTATTTCAGTTTGATTTCTTATAAATCAAAAATAATAATTTACTTACTTACCGATGTTTACTTATTATCAAAATTCTTTCAGAAAATCTCAAGAAAAGGAGAAAACAACCGAAAAAATTTTTCTTTTCAAGATGGCGACCGACAATAGAAAAATCGAACAATACAGTGGTAACTCAGGATACGAACGCCCCAACATACGAAATTTTCAGGATACGACATGAAATTCGAACATATTTTTGCTCCACGATACGAACAAAAACTCACCATACGACGTTACATTAGTTCGCAGCGCCATTTTTTATTCACTTCTGTTCATTGGTCTCAGTCCGCGCGTTTGCCTTGTCGTGGAAGGATCTCGCTCGATAAAGGAAATCTTGAGGTATTATCAGAAAGTGACTGATTTTATTGAAAAGAAACATCCCGAAAAGGTTCACACTGGCCGTATTGCTGCTCGGAGTAATGACATTTGCCTAAGTCATTTTAGAAACATTTTAAAAAGTAGGCAAAGCCAAACCTCTTTGGATAGATATTTTACCAAGCGACCTCTATCCAGTGAAAGTGCTGGTGGAAGTGAAGGAAAGAAAGCAAAAAGCAGTGAATAAAAATTTAAAAATATATATATAAAACAACACTAATTTTTTTTTATCATTTCTGTTATTTTTAAGTTATCGTTACATTACGTTATGTAAAGTACGTTAACTTTTAGTATCATTTCCCTTCTCCCTCTCCTCCGCCACCAGTTTACATCTCCACCGTCGTCTATCTTCAAAAGTAAAGTGCAAAATAAAACTACATTTTTAAAAATCAATTATTATTCTATTATGGTTATTTATACATTTACAACTACAAAACGCATTTTTCAGTGTTTTCCTTACTATAGTTATTATTATTATTTTTTAATGCACAGTAGGCCTACTACTTAACTTTAATTTGAGTGTGTTTTTCGTGTTGGAACGAATTATTTAGTTTTACATGTAATCGTATGGGGAAAAATGACTCACCTTACGACATTTTCATGGTACGATCTGTTTCGGAACGGATTAATTTCGTATCCTGAGGTACCACTGTATTCAAAAAATCGTTACTTTCAAACGTTTGACATTCCGACAAATGCGTTACTGTTACTTCAAAGCATTAATCGATTTAAAATATTCACTTAGCAATTACCATAACCCCATTTTTCTAATAAATAAAATTATAAAAATGAAATTTACAGATTTCAAATACTTTCATTTATTCTAAAGTAATATTATCTTATATATTTTGGAAAGTTGAAACAAGAATTTGTATTTTCACATATACAAACACGTTTTCGTTTAATTCATTGAATTTTTGCATATTATATGTAAGTAATCTTTACTCTTCATTATATCAACATTTTTTATGTTATTTAATGTTTCCTTACTCTCTCTAAGAAATCCTGGATTTCCGAAGCCAAGTTTAGCTTATTAGACGAATATAAAATCCGAAAATTTATTAAAATTATTTAACTTTATAAAGATATAGAATTCAATACATTCAATTCTGTTGCCGAATTCAATTGCCGAAAACTCCGTATAAGAAAAAATATAGAGAAATGAAAGATTGGTTCCAGTTCCTAAAAAGCAATAAAAGTAATATGATAAAACAATTAATACAATAGGCTGTTTTTAAATAAAATATTTCAATTTTAGTTAATAAATCAGAGGAGGAACAATTGTAACTTATTTATCAGCAAAATTTAATAAATTTAAATTACTCGCATAAATTTAATTTTTTTATTCGAATTTTTCAATTAAACAGGAAAATACTTCTAGCTTTCAACGCCAAAATGACATACAAAAACTATTCGTTGTCGAAAGGCATCGAAAGAAACGCAATCATCCAAATAATTTAATTACATTTTTCTGGCTGTTTCGATTGCGGTATAAAGTCGGAATAAAAGACTAATCGTCGCTACTCGCCTCCAAATAAGTCGTAAAAAATAGGCAAGTCTTAAAATTTACTTGAGAGTGTGTAACACCTAAAATGCAAATTTAAGAATTCTTTTCTTTTCTTTTCTTTTCTTTTCTTTTCTTTTTTTAAAAGGAGCAATTTTTCTGGAGAAGGTTTCAATATTTTTTCTTAGAATTAAAATCAAATCAACGGCCGAATAGCGGTGTCAGTCTACTGCTCTGGTCAGACGTGTGCCGGTTAAAAAATTATCGCCGACATGGCACACTATAAGCACTCACGTTTCCCATTTAAAAAATACTTTATATTTAAAAAGTGATAAACTATAAAATAATAATGCATACAAATAATAATCTTCTTGTATTTTTTAAAAGTTTTTTCTGCCCTGTGGTCACCTAGAGGGCTTTTTTCACAAGCCTATTATGGATTCAGCCAAGGATTCGGCCCTCTAATGAGGAACGGAGCCCGACGTATCCGGGCGAGCTTCTCCCGAAATATTCCTGGGGTTTTTCGATCCCGAGTCTCCATAGCGACAGGCTGTTACTTTAGCTCTCGGCCATACGGCTGTCATTTATTTTTATGTATAATATGTAAAACATTAAAAGAAAATTAATTCTAATTAATGGGAAAATAGGAGACATGAATGGTCCTAAACGTTTTTCCAGTACTGCAGTGTTATAAAAATAAAAAAGAAGAAGCAGTTTTTAACTCTAACTGTATCTTCCCCAAAAGGAGAAGAATTCAGACTCTGTTGTAGATAATAATAAAATATGCATTTTATACTTAGGAAGCCGTTTTCGTTGTCTGCGGACGTTGCCGACAACGAAATCAGCGTGGCTCAATTTTCGATGGCGGTCACTAAACTAGGGAAAGTTGGCGGCTATGTGGCGACGTACTGTACAGTACAGTACGTGTCTGCTTCTGGCCCATCGCTTCCGACATCTGATCCAGAAGCGATACGCCAATTTAAAATAAATAATATATATATATATATATATATATATATATATATATT